TCAAAAAACTCGTTGGTCGGGACACTCATAAGTCAAGGCCCCACTGTATAGGATTTTAGTTTGATGTACTTCTTCAGATTGATTGGAAGCTCCTTGAGGGCGAGGCCTATGAATTCTTCTGAGCATTGCTGGCTTCTAGCCCTGTAGTGGCTCACTGAATAGGTACTTAGGAAATGTTCATTGAATTGGGTTGCCAGAAGTTACTTAGTCTGTTTTCTGTAAGGCACTTATAAGAATATTTAGGAATATGAGACAGGCCTTCTTTCCTCATGGGGCATATTAAGTGGTTAGTTGTATAGTTTTTTAGGAGTAACAAGGTATCAGTGATTCCTGGGCTCTTCAGAAGATCTTAGAGGAGCTGGACTTTGAAACACAACTTAGATCCAGGGGAGGAAGAGAAGGGAATCATAACTTGTGTTGTAGTCTTTGTTATTCTTATGACAGAGATAGAAGTTCTCTAAGATATTAACATGATTGTCCATCTGTAGGGTGGACTACCTCCTTTCTTTGGCCTATAACAGTAAGAGGTATTTGGTTACTATTATGTGTTCTTTAAAAAGCAGAAATTATAGCCCTTGCTCTGGAAGAAATATTTATTTGTTAGAATAATAATATGTAAATGTTAAGTTGATTTTTAGATATTCAACAATCAGTGCAAACAGGTAGATTTCTTGACCTAATAGAGGTAAACTGATTATTTTGCTTTTGAGTTATAGACATAGGCATAGAATCTATCACTGATATTATTTGTAATATCATGTTTATGGAGTGACTTAAATGATAATAACTATGTTAGTATCAAGGTCCATTGAGTTAAAGAAGGCCAAAGTGCAGTGAACTAGGCATTCCCTCTTTACATTTGTATTGTACCTTTTTGTTGTACTTTTACTTTAAAAACTATTCTGAAGCACACCAAGTAAAGAATAATAAAAAAATATATGTTTGATTTGAACATTTTTATGAATTTGAGTTTTCCTCATTTCAGATTTAATGGAGTTTAACTTGGGTAGCCCCAAGAAAGTGGGTCCCTTCCTTGCGGTGGACCAAAAGCACAACATCCTGCTCAAGTACCGCTGCCATGGTCCACCCATCCGCTTCACCACTGTCTTCAGTAGTGAGCTCCATTATGTGGCCAATGAGCTGAATGGTATTGTGGGAGGGAAGAACACCGTGGTGGCCATCGCTGTGTGGTCTCATTTCAGCACCTTCCCCTTGGAAGTGTATATCCGGCGGCTCAGGAACATCCGTCGAGCAGTGGTCCAGCTCTTGGATCGAAGCCCTAAGACCGTGGTAGTTATCCGGACAGCCAACGTCCAAGAGCTGGGGCCTGAGGCGAGCCTTTTCAGCAGTGACTGGTACAACTTTCAGCTGGACACCGTCCTTCGGAAGATGTTCTCAGGGATTGGAGTATATCTCGTTGATGCCTGGGAGATGACCCTAGCCCATTATCTACCCCATAAGCTACATCCGGATGAAGTTATTGTGAAGAACCAACTAGACATGTTCTTGTCCTTTGTGTGCCCCTTGGAGACCTAGCCTGCCGTGAAGAGGACTGAAGGAATCACTTCAGTGACCTTTTCCATCACCTGCATTACAGAAAGTTAATGGATGTCCCTGTGGAGATATGGCCATCATTGATGTGTAAAAAGAAATTTTAAGAGCTGGACTTTATATAACGACTTGTGAAGAGTTTAGAAAACACAGGTTACATTATATCTATGTATAGGATATTTTCCAGGTTTGACTTAGTTACGGAGAACCATTAACAGCATCCACACACTGTATTGCCCTTTTAACCAAAGATGCAAATAAGTGTGTTTCAACTAGGTTCTCCTGGGAGAGGAGATTACTGTGCTAAAAAGTGTGAAAAATGTTCTGATCTAAATGGAAGGGACAGTGGAGTGTCTGTAGCTTATCCGGCAAAAGAGATTGAGCACATCAGCACGAGCAGCACCGTTGGTCCATCTTCAACGGGGCGAACTAACCAGGCTTATAACCAGTGGCTCCTGTAACACACTGAAGACTCCCCTGTCTCACAGTTTCTCTTGATAATCTACTTTTTCTGAATTACTTGAAATGACCAGTGTCCTCGCTCAGAATTTTTAGTGAAATATTTACAATGTCCTGCTTTTATCTAGAAAAAAATCAAAAGGGAGCTATGAAAACAGTATGCATAAAATTTTTGTGTTCAGTTGATATTTGCATGGGGTGATTGTTACTTATTTAATTCAGCTAAACTTTACATTATGAATACTTACTCTAAAATAACTACTTTTGGAACTGGAAAGGTGAAGACTGTAAACAGAAACGAATTTTTCTGTTCTGAAATTTGAGGGTTTCAAGAATTGACTTTTATGTATAGAGTGCTATTGTTTATTATAAAATTGTGAAAAGTATTTCCATCTATTTCAAGTGGGGTTTGTTTTTTGTTGTTGTTGTTGTTGGTATTTTTGTACCAGATGTTAGACTTTGGTCCTTGAGTGTGGCTAAGGAAAGAAATCAGACCCAAGAAACTCAAATACAAGCAAAAATTTATTTAGAAAGTAACAGGGGTTGAATAAGTGAGTCATAGAAGAAGTGAGCCAGCTGGCCTATGTGGACTCAGTAAACAAGTTACAGAGGTAAAAGAAAAGAAGGGCCCTTGGATTTTAGGAGGAAAAAAAAGGCAAAGAAAATATGCGTGGGAGAAGGAGGGAAAGGCTCAGGTGTGCTCCCAAGAGAGCTCACCTGGGGAAAGAAGGGGGTAGGGAAAGGCACAGGCATGCTGTAGAGTGGGGGGAGAGGGGAGGAGCAGGAACCTTTCTTCTGCCAAGGCACATTTGGGTATTTATAACATCATTTGAATCCTTTGTCTCAAGGGTTTTAATCTGGAGGGCTCAAGGGAGGATCTCAATAGAACATATATCAGCTTTCCAGATGTGTCCTTTCAAGGTCATGGTTGGTGCCAGTGCAGGGGGTCATTAGTCATTGCAGCTGGTCCTGACGTCAGCCATGGCGTCACCCCTGCTTGGCTTTGCTGCTTTTCTAGGCCTGGAGCTGAAACACAACTGAGGCCTACATGTTATCTCTAGTTTGACAGAAACTCTGTCTCTGTGGCTTTGCTCCTAAGATTATTTGATGCAGGTCAGAAGCTCATTGTCTTGAGGGCCTAATGCTTAAGGAAGTAGTCGTGCAAGGGTTTGTATGGGAGGCCTATGAGGCTATTCTCTGGCCCTGCCTTGTTCCTCCTCTAACGTGTCTACCACATGACTAGCCGAGTGCCAGGGAAGGAGAGATCGGGGAGGGTCTGAACCACATGACCAGAAATATGAAAGGTCAGGGGGACTACACCCCATGACCATCCATATCCCAGGGGAGGAAAGGGAACTCTGGGGGCAAAATCCCATCATGTAATACTTGTCCTCCCAGTTTTGCCCATTGCTAGGTACCCGGGCTTTCTGCCCTGGTGACCTTCTATACCTGACCTGCTTTGCTCATGCCTGTCTAACTGCCTACTATATCGTTTTCAATTGGATACCAAAATTAGAAATCAAAATTAATTAGAAATTAAGGTTAGATATTGAATCCTATGACAGGTTTTTCTTGATTTGGGCATAATATACATATAATTCTCTCATGCTTGGAAGTCAAAAGCTGCTGTTTTTACTGGCTATCTTAAAATAAATGGTACTTGACTAAATTTAACGGAGTTTAAGTTAATTTGGGGCCGTTTAGTAAGTACTCTTTTCTTTTTGAGCCACAACAGATTATAGTTCAGTTCTAGTTATCCTAAAGAAACTGCGGAGCCTTTAGAGCTGAAGCAGGTGCGTAAAGCATGGAAAAATACACTCTTAGAAGATTGGGTCAAATAAAAATTTTAACTCTTAAAACAGAAAATCTAAGATCTTCCTTTCCTAGCCTTGAGGGCCACCTTCAAGTTTATAAAATATATATCTACGGGAAAAGACTTTTAAATTATCTTCTGAGTTTGCAGAGGACCAAGTAGTTAAATATATTACAATAGCTTAATTTTAATGGTATTTAAGTTTTAGAATATCTAAGGATCACATGGAATACTTGATAAAAATGCAGAATTAGAGGCTATGCCTCCTGGGAATTATGGAATCAACTTTGGTGACAAGTGCCCAGTTAATACCGATGCAGTGGTGGTATGCTACACTTTGAGAAACACTGACAAAGGGAAGAGGGAAGATAGAACAAGGAAATAATGTTCCTTGTCTGTTATTTAAGGGGCTTTACCTATAACAATTCTCACCATGATCTAATCGTGTGGGTGATATTAACTTCATTTTAGAGATGAGAACTGGAGTTTGGGATTTGAACTAAGGCATGTGAGAGTCCATAACCCTTTTCAACTACAACTTGTTGGACTTTGGTAAAGAGAAGTTTTCTTTTTCATGAAAGAAGTTCTGAGCATTTTCTCAAGGATTGCTAGAGATGGCTAAGTCATCATCTCCCTAGGAGAATTTCAAGGAGAGAGAGAACACAGTCTCTCTAGGGCTTTGGAGTGATGCTACTTGTGCAAATGATTTCTTGTGATCTTGTCCAGTTTCTGTTATTTTTTATTTAGTGACATAAGGTCCTAAAGATTTGATGACACAGTTTCTTGAAGTATTCTCAGTCCCTCTTCTAATTTGTCTTCCTAGTCTCTGGTGTGAAAGTTAAAAAAAAAATGCGTAAGTGTAGAATTTGAAATGTTATCTAAATCTTTTCCAGAACAATTAAATATATTTTAATTTCTTCTGAAAAGCTTTGTAGGCCAGTACCACATGGTTGTGAATATTAACATGCCATCCAAATAATATAGTTGGTTTTAAATACATATTTTCCATTATAAAGGGAAACATCTCTTTTTAAAATAATTTTTTGGTTTTCAATTACAGTTGACATACAATATTATATTAGTTTTAGGTATACAACATAGTGATTAGACATTTATGTAATTCACAAAGTGATCATTCCAATAAGTCTAGTACCCATCTGATACCACATACAGTTATTACAGTATTACTGGCTATATTCCCTATGCTGTACTTTACAATCCCATGACTGTTTTCATCATGAAGTATGGTACCTATTTGCTTTGTTTAACAATGGACAGGTTATTTTGATTTTCTGAATTGTATAAATCATCCCATTCGATTGAATGCCTTATTGATTGAATGAATATCCA